CGAGAGGATGATGTTGGATGAAGAGGATGGTGAAAAGGCTTCGATTTTATCGATTCTCGGATATTTGTATGGAATGAAATTGACATTGAAATGGAAGTTTGAGAGTCTTAAGAATTATCAGTGTTGTAAAAAGCTTGCAGACAATATGCAATAAAAATTCTTTTTTATCATTCAAATGTATTCATTTATTTATTCATTAATCCCATAGAAAAAATACATGATTATTTTAGATATTTTTTAAAATCATTTCCTTCACTCCACCAATGAGAGGATGATATTCGATAATTCGATCATGCAAGATCCAGCAATAAGCTGCAGTAGTATTGGGGAATATCTGCGTCGATTCGAATTCAAGTCGAATATCCACAGGTCCAGTTTTCAGGAACTCGTTCTGCTTGGAGCAATCGATGACGATAAGCGGTGCTGTCTTCAAGAATGCATCCTTGTTCAGCAAGGGCTGAGGCTCCTTACCATAGTAAGAAGTCACAGTCGGTAATGTGAGAACAGTTTCAGTGTCTTGCACGAAATAGAATTTATTATGTCCCTCATCAATATTAGGGATTGAATTGTATGTTACGAATAACACAAGCCCTACACTGTAGGTTTTCAAAGGTGATAACTCAATCGGTGGAAAATAATATGCCTGCAGTACAGAAGATGTACCCGACAATGTTAACGTGAAAGAGTCACCCATGATGGTTAGCGTTGAGCTGATCTGCCACCGACGTGGATCGCTGCTTTTATGACAATTGATTAGAAAGGAATTTGAGACATAAATGTGCACAAATAATTGTATCATAGTCTTGATAATTTTTGTAATTGCATTTCACTATACTACCAGCACCGAGATAATTTACTAAATCTTGAGGTGGACGCAAGTTGCCAAAGCTATCGAAATAAATGAGATCTTTATTCCGCTTTTTATAAGCAACCCAATGGGTGCCAGGTCCCTCACTGTCATGAAGATCAACTACAGCGGATTCATGCTTTCAAGGACCATTATTCGGCATACCATTTCTCATATACACACCTCGAAAATGTGGAATTTTCATTGCTTTAGCAAATTTTAGTATGTCATTATCGGTGAGCGCTCGGTGTGGTAGTCTTACACGTTTTTTTAACTCAAATGAAGTCCCAAACCTTGCTTATAAGGCTTCAAATACAACCCTTCACCCGGAGCAACATCTTCCATATTCCGATTATGTCGTTTACTCTCCTCAAGGGCTTCCCTAGCAGCCTTAGCGTCATTGACAGCTTTTGCAATGCCCGCAGTACCACCTGCTAAAGACCCTGTAGCACTAAGTCTAGCGAAGAGAGGGATCAGAAAAGCGGGCAAAATTTCACCGGTTTTTGTTGAAACAGGTAGAAAGCGAGGCAAGGCTCGAATTTCCTTCCTTCCTCCAGCATTTTTCACAGCTTCACGTGCCCCCTTCAATGCTGTTTTCACAGCATTTACTCCTGGAAGCATCGAAGCTTTAGAAGCATCAATAATCTGACATAATGGGATATTCTTCTTCTTTTTTCGCTTGCTACCCTCTCCGATGTTTCCCTTCGGAACTCGGCCAGTCCATTTTTTCAGCTTATGTCCTTTCCCAGTTTTCTTTCTCCTCCTCGTATCAGTTTTCCTCTTCTTACGAACACCCATCCCGAATTTCTTTTTAGCCTTCATGGTGTTCGTCACTCCCCAAGCTACTGCCTTTTCAGCAAGACCGGCGTCCTTCGCCAACACGCGACTCCAAGCTCGTTGTTCTAAAATACTATCAGCGTTGTGTCTAGCAGGCAAGTTTTCTCTGTTCTGAGAATAGTNAATGAATAGAGGAAAAAAGTGAACGAGGTTTCTTCTACCATCGAGAGGATGATGTTGGATGAAGAGGATGGTGAAAAGGCTTCGATTTTATCGATTCTCGGATATTTGTATGGAATGAAATTGACATTGAAATGGAAGTTTGAGAGTCTTAAGAATTATCAGTGTTGTAAAAAGCTTGCAGACAATATGCAATAAAAATTCTTTTTTATCATTCAAATGTATTCATTTATTTATTCATTAATCCCATAGAAAAAATACATGATTATTTTAGATATTTTTTAAAATCATTTCCTTCACTCCACCAATGAGAGGATGATATTCGATAATTCGATCATGCAAGATCCNCGATCACCACGAGCCAATCGTTTAGCTAATTTGGTTCCTGGTCCACAGTAACTATAACCCGGCGCATGTAATTCCACAGGTAAGTTATTAATCACTTTATTCACAAAACCTTCACCGCTGCGCTCTCTTTTACGTTTGCACGTNTAATTCGATCATGCAAGATCCAGCAATAAGCTGCAGTAGTATTGGGGAATATCTGCGTCGATTCGAATTCAAGTCGAATATCCACAGGTCCAGTTTTCAGGAACTCGTTCTGCTTGGAGCAATCGATGACGATAAGCGGTGCTGTCTTCAAGAATGCATCCTTGTTCAGCAAGGGCTGAGGCTCCTTACCATAGTAAGAAGTCACAGTCGGTAATGTGAGNTGACTGGAACCATATAAATACAGCGTATTTATAGCTGATGCGGCAGTCGTGAAGATGAAGTTCAAGCGGCAAAATGTGAAACTCCCTGTTATCAATTTCGATCAAATTGTTCTACAAAAAAAGGGTGGGGGAATGAATCGACATGGTTCTCTTTTACCGAATTGCTTGCGTGCAGTGATTTGTGGACCTTCAAACTGTGGTAAAACAAATGTCTTGTTTGCACTAATCACTCATCCAAATGGATTGAANATAGAATTTATTATGTCCCTCATCAATATTAGGGATTGAATTGTATGTTACGAATAACACAAGCCCTACACTGTAGGTTTTCAAAGGTGATAACTCAATCGGTGGAAAATAATATGCCTGCAGTACAGAAGATGTACCCGACAATGTTAACGTGAAAGAGTCACCCATGATGGTTAGCGTTGAGCTGATCTGCCACCGACGTGGATCGCTGCTTTTATGACAATTGATTAGAAAGGAATTTGAGACATAAATGTGCACAAATAATTGTATCATAGTCTTGATAATTTTTGTAATTGCNCTTGAAGCAGTTGTTAGAATCTACAAAAGTTATTGAATATTTTCCATTCAGCGATCACGAGGAGGTGATCAAACCTGAAGATGCTCGCCTCAACTCCATCATAATCTTCGATGATGTTGCTTGTGAGAAACAAGACAATATGAGAGCATTTTTTTGTATGAGACGACATCAAAACGTAGACTGTTTCTATCTCTGTCAGACTTATGCTCGTATCTCGAAGCATTTAGTGCTGGATAATACGAATTTTCTCATACTTTTTCGTCAAGAGGGGATGAACTTGAAACATATTTATGATGAACAGGTGAATACTGATATGTCATATACACAATTCAACGATTTGTGCTCAACTTGTTGGAATTTGGGCAAGTATGGATTCATGGTAATTCATAATGATAGTGAATTAAATGATGGACGTTATCGAAGAGGTTTCGATTACTTTATTACCAAAATAAGCAATGATGTTCGAAATTGAAGACAGTGTTCAATTAAAGGTGCACCAATCAACATGCAACAGTGTTGGAAATAGAATCCAATGTTTTGCATCACATTGCTTTAGCAAGTGATGCAATCCGACGTAAACATACAATATTGAAATTAGGTCAAGATGCTGCAAAACGTACTGCAAACGAAGTATTTAAACCAATGATTACACAGCTTGAGAAATTAGTTGAAGCACAATCGAAAAAATCAGGACAAAAGAAAAGAAAATTGTCAAAACGAGGGATATCAATGGTTCTATGGATGGATGTTGGGGATAGTGATGAAGAGAATGATGCGTTCAAAACAGCAGACGAGGATCATAAACAAAAAATCTTCTCGAGTACTCCGCGGCATACAGAATCATCAGCATCAGAACCTTCAATGAGTCTGAATGATTTTTCATTACTCAAAAACCATTCTTCAAGACCGTTGGAGTCGATTGATGAATCATCGACTAAATACCTCAATATATCAAATGCAGAGAACCTGGCACAGTCATATCTCAATAGATTTGGAACAGCAAATGAGAAAGAATTGGACACTGAATTTGGCATTAAAAATTTGAAAGGAGGTTTGAAAATCGGAATTTCAATAGTTTCTTTCAAGGATGATGCAATGATTTTGCAAGATAAACAGTATAAATTAACACCTGGTCTGATGTCATTGATTTTCATGAAATCTCCAGAACCAGAGCATATCACTGAAATTGATAAAAAAGTTTATGTTAAAATTATTGAACGAACGAGTGATTATCGATCTCGCTATCAAGCTGACCAACCTATTAAGAAAAAAAAGAATAAAAAATTTACTAATATTATAGCACCGCTGCTTCAATCATCATCGATTTAAAAAACTGGTACAGCTCTGCTACCGCAATACATGATCGCTCCAAGGACTATCAACCAAAAAATGGATCATGTTTACTAGGATGATCCTAATGAATTAGTAGATAGACTTTGTTTACTCATGGCATCTGAGGCAGCTGGCAATACGAGTCAAACCAATAAAATTTTCTCCATCATCGAAAAGTTACGTGAGGCTGGAATTATATATTAGATGCTGTTCAAGAAAGATTTCATCAGTTCAATCATGAGCGTTGATGTGTTCGATCGACAGTGGGCTTACGGTCGTACTACTACCCCAGGGAGACGAGGTCCTCCAGGTGATGGATTCAAGAGCACACAGGATGGAAACTATGATATTGATAACAAAAAATTATGTAATTTAGCTGATGCAAAGGACCCCTTGGATGCTGTTTCAATGAAAATTCTGACAAGATATAGAACATTCTTGCAAAAAGAGATCATATCACTGAATCAACAGTTGGAGGATTCCCTTCAAGCTCTTCAATCTCAAGTATCTGAGATAATTTTTCAAGCAGAGACGAAGAAGCAGACCGAGAAAATAGCTGCATCAGATAATAATATTCAAGATCATTCCCTAAGCAGAGACAAAGATGAAATTAAAGAAGGCTGAAATAGTGGAGGAGCTTCATAAACCAGCTAGGAGGAATTACACTCGTCGTCATGATGATATTAGAGGTTTGAATAAAACCTGGCAAGTCGATCTAGTGGAGATGAGGGCTTATGCAAATGTCAATAAGGACTATAGGTACGTCCTTACGGTTATTAATATTTTCTCCAAGTATGCATGGGCCATCCCAACCAAAACTAAAAATGGAGTAAATGTGACAAGTGCTATGAATCTTATCTTGAAGGAGGGGTGTATTCCTAAAAAGTTACATGTAGATCAGGGAAAGGAGTTCTATAACAAGAATTTCCAAGCTCTGATGAAAGATGATGATATAAAAATGTACTCCAAATTCAGCAACCTTAAGGCTTCTATGAACGCTTCAATCGTACTCTAAAAAATAAAATGTGGAAACAGTTTTCTCTCAATGGAACGTATAAATGGATTGATACTACAGATGATTTTGTGAAATCCTATAATCATACAAAACACAGCACTATTAAAATGAAGCCGAAAGATGTAACCTTGAAGAATGAGAAGCAGCTGCTGCGAAGTATATATCGAAAACATTCAAGGAATATGATGAAAGGACTAACATTCATAGTAGGCAACAGAGTTCGTATCAGCAAATATAAAACAATCTTCGAGAAAGGATACACCCCCAACTAGACCCCTGAGATCTTCACCATCAGCAAAGTGCAACGAAGCAATCCTGTCACATACAAACTCATGGATGTTCAGAATCAACAAATCGAGAGTGGCTTCTACCAGGAAGAACTTCAAAAAGTCAAGTGTCCAGATGTTTACCTCGTAGAAAAAGTGTTGAAGACAAAAGGCAATAAGAAATATGTGAAATGGATGGGTTTTGATAACACTCATAACAGCTGGATAAATAATGGTGATTTGTAATTTCATATGAAATAAAGATTGAACAATAAAATTAGTTTTTTCAAAAATATGTTTTATTTATTCTCATAATATCCATATGGGAAAATATCTGTCGTATCAGGCAGAATAACTGTCTTATCATCCTCACAATTCAGAGCTAATTTTCTCTGCTTAACAGTGTAAACTTCATGTTTTTTACTGTGAATTAAATACTGAGATTTTACAACATTTCTGTTTGAAAAAAGACACTCTTTGTAATCATCAATTGTAATTGATCTTATCATTGATCCGTTCACCCTTTTAGCATTCTGTTTCTCCCCAGCATCACCCAACATCTTGAAAGTGTAAAGTTTTGCTCGCAAACCTACAAACTCAATCATAATTTTACCATTACACTCATCTTTCATGAGACCCAAAACTTTTTTATTCACTCTAGGCATTCCATATACATTGTCTTCTGGATAATCAGAAGTATCGAACTTGGCAATATCTTCCTTCATACATTCATAAATATTTGGCACAGTGAAGTGATACAACAGGCTATCAGTGTCTGTATACATCAATTTCGCACGCTCACCAAATACACGCTTCACATAATTGTAATGGGAATCGTAAATAAAATTTTTTGACAAATCCAAAATAGCAAAACCAATGAAGATTGGTTTATTGAACATAATCTTAGAGCGATTCAATTGAACAATAACCAAATCATACTCATCATCAAATATAAGACTGCTATGGAAGTTCGGGTGAGCGATGCGAACCTTTGCACCGCATCTCCCACACCATTCAGAGATCAGTTTCACATCTCGATGTTTTCTCACGTTCTCCGTCGTCTTTCCAAACGCTGCATTGTTCATGAGTTTGAAGAAATTTTTCTCAAACTCATTAGATGATTGTTTTCTCTTTTCTGTGTTAAGATCGATGTATGGATTCAACCAGGCTGCTTGGTTAAACTTCAAGAGGCGATGAATTGTGATTACTTTCCTACCCAAATTCAAACACTGTTGTAGATTTCGATAATGTATTACATAAGCTTTTTTCGAATGAAGTGTTGTTATCATCTTCGAACCCTTGCGACCTGGTGGTATAAAATGCTCAGGAGCCAGAGGAAGGTCTTTATGAAGATCATGTAGCTCGATAGGGTAGTCCAAATCCACTTCCAGGATGTATCCAACAGGAGAATCATCAGGAACACTCATTACATCGAAGCCCTCTGGATCAGCCTACTCAAATGATCCATAAGGTAAGTATTGACTCATCGCTGCACCATACAGATTATTAACGTCATAGTACATCAAGTAAGACTCATCTTGATGCTCTTCAAAATCATCCATGCAGCGATTGGTGGCTTTTGCATAACGATTAGTACACTGTGCAACACCACCTCGAATATTTTTTTAAATAAATAGCAGTTTTTCCGCATCAGTGAAAAGTTTATGTCAACACTAGTATGCTTCAACATGGCATCAAAAGCAAGTCCAGGTGCAGTGTAATAATGCAGGGGATCCAGTTTATAAACTGAAAAGCAACTCCTCCGGAAATTCTCGAAAATGTCTGCTAAGAGTAGCACGTCAGTCTTCGGATACAATTCAGAGTATTCCCCTAGAGTTGAGATATTAAATGTCTCCCAGACTAGACACGCATGTGCATAAACTTCCTCTGAAACTCCCTGCTTATTCAGTGTTGAATAAAAATCCTCTCTTGCAGGTAAATGAGGACCGTTAAGTTTCATCCAATTGTCCATGTACTCGTATAGAAATATACCTTTCCATGTCAATAAGTTGAATTTCTCCCCATCATCATCATCATCTTCATGAACGCAATTGGCTTTTATAATTTTTTTATCAGCATCAGTCAGATATGAAGCAAGCTTTTCAAGAATACTCACCATGAATCTGAATGAATCAATAAATCTCAGCTTCACATTTGTCTTGGGTATATATTTTCTGAAAGCTATATACTCTCTTTAGTAATCGGAAGGAGTTCAACTGTTCCTCTAAATTCCTTCGCCATGTCCTTTATGATAAAATGTGCATCATATGCAGACAGATTGTGGAATATCACTGGAATATCATGAGAAATTTGATAATTCAGATTAAATCCTTGATGAGCAGCACCACGATATTTTCCGGTGAAATGACAATGGTCTCGATGTTTCACATCTATTTGAGTGAAAGGCTTCTCTCAAATATGACATATACTTGCACCCCTAAAATTTTGAAATTGCTCTTCAGTCAGATTCTCCATTGGCACTACAGTTTTCAAGATTCTATCAACCATTTCTGCAATTGTCTGTAATCGCTTCATGAAACAGGTGATGCAGTCAGGTCCATGTTTCATCTCGAATCTTGATAATTTATCATCATAAGAACATTACAAGTAGAAACCTGTACTATGTGGAGTATGCTTTTGCTGTAGAACTTCATTGTCATCATCTGCAGGCTCCAACAGATACTCCAGATCAGAATAAATCACAAATGGCACTGCCTCTTTGAATCGATAATTTTTGAAACTGAGGATTCTATTTTCTTGTTGAGGAAACTCCATTTTACATTTATTTATCATGTAACAGTCTGTGCGATGAGTTTCATATGATTTTATCTCTTGGAAATGACACAAGCATCGATCACAGATAAATTTCTGTCTAATGAAAAGATAATGGAGAACTCATTAGCCTAAAGAGATTATGAATCCAACCAAAATGGTATGTTGGTTGTACTCCAGCACCCACATGGACATTCGAACAGAATAACAGTAAATGAATCGTCGATATCTTTGATTCAACATTACTCAGATGATAAGGTACTATTTCACTTTTGCCCTGAGAATCACATTCAATCCCGTAGACGTTGATTGATAACTCATTTTTCTTCTCGAATTTTGGAACATCATTCAAAGCTAGAGGGAACTGGAGACCTTTGTAATCGAGTTTAGTTCGACTGTTGGGGAGAGTTGCATGTAAAAAATGTGGATAGGAACTGGTAACACATTTATTATTCTGAGCTGGATGAAGAGCTGCAATCACCGACCATAACAAGCAGAAATTATCTGATTTCTTGATATTTACTACTGCTTTCTTGTACTGGATATCATAAGGCAATACTGCATGAGTTGATAAGCTAGCAGAGAGTGACACATAGCGATTTATATTCACCACAAGATTGAGGACTTCAATGAGCTTCCATGCAGAATCCTGTTCCTCAAAATTATCCATTTTTCTGAAATTACTAATTTTAGGTTTTCACGCGTCGATGAGCTGGGCATTGGCTTCAATACCGGCTCTCTCTCTCTCGTACTACACCTACAATAACTAAATGACCCCATGAATTCTTCGGAGAGTAGGATTTCTCCGAGGATTTTCGTTACAAATATGGATGATATAGATTGACAAGGTGGATATTCATGTATTTCATGATGACATTACATGATGAGCGTGACTGGTCGTGCGAGTCTGATTGTTGGCTGTGGTACCTCTTCATGATGGCCTCTTCCTTGGAGATCTTCAGTGGTGGCCGCATGTCTCATTCCTTCTCGAATAACCCCGTCCTGGTACACAAGGCGAGCTTCTAGCAGTGAATTGCTTCTAGCTACTCTTTTCATGATAACCATTTCAACTCCGTTAGCTTCCTTGGTTTTCTTCTTTGCCTTGCAGATGCATTGCAGGATGTTCCAAAGACCCTTCCACCTCAGGAAGAAGTACGCTATACCTCCCGAGCTGAACATGCCTAGCCCTCCGAGGGATCCAAAGGTCAGGAGGCGATGGTGGTATGCCTCCTGATGCATTCGTCCGATCTCTACCAATCGTCGTTGGGCTTCGTCTAATTGTAATTCGCCCCGTCCGTGGTCCTTCAAGTTCGGCAATGGATCTACGTGTATACCTAGAAGCGAATTCTGGGATTCGGAATCCCTTTCCAATTCAGGTGCAAGGTCCAACAGCGTGAGAGTCACAGGTGGTAGGTGAATTTCAACCTCTGACGTCTGTAAGATGCCTACGTGGGTTATGAGATCACTAATTGTCTGCAGTTTGCAACCTGGTCCTAAGGAAACGACACCCGTTCCGGTGATGTTTACGGTACCCGCAAGGCGGTGTGAGCAGATGACCTCCCCTCGTTCCGGGTCATTGGTCGAAAAGAGCCACTGAGCCCCGTTCTCTAGCAAGGTCCATTCGGTGCCACGCTAGTTAGTGATTTCAACGTCGCAAGTGCGTAATACTTCTGGGGATGGGTTCAGCAACAGCATTATTTCGCATATAGGTTTCAACAATGAGTTGCTGATTGGAAATCTAGGTATACAGACCAATCTGTTCCCGAGTGGGGCACATCCCTCCATATCCGTCTGATCCAATAACGCGAAGTGGTGACGATCTTCAGCGACAAGAAGATATGGCTTCTCTGGTGCTATGTGCGCTGAGACCATTCTATTACTGATAAATTGGGGTCTCTTGCAAGTACGTAGGTGATAAAGACCATACTCCGAGAGTCCCAACAGTGATAGGGTAATAATCCCCCGTAGTTTTCCTCTAGCATGGGCCACTCGGATGGTGCTAACCTTAGATAATGCTGCGTAATCAGTAGCTCCCGTTGGTATGGGGAACTCTAATTCTGGATGGACGGATTTGATGTTTTCGGATACATCATGTAGTTGCTCAGGTGATATGAGCGCATGAGAGATTATCGCGTGTTTGGCTGCGTCCATAGCCTCGACTGCTCTTTCCGTGATCTCCAACATCTTCCTGATAGTCGACTTGGCTTCCAACTCTGCTAGCGGCAGTTGCATGGTGTACTCGATGATCTTGATACGATGATCCTCCCGGTTGAGTCTGCCCTGTAGTTCATTGGTGGCCGATTTTAGGACCAAGATATTCACATTGATCTGGTTCAGATAATTATTGATGTCTTCGATTTTCGATCGGATGATGTGGGTCGGATTGTTGACGATGGATGTCACTTCCTTCTGGGATTGGTAAAGCCTGTCGATTTCCTTCATAATATGTTGGTAGTCGTTATAGTCCATTAACC